GAAGTCATAAAAGGAATTCACAAAATGTCAGAGCTGGAGATGAAGAAAGGGCAGGCTGTTAGGATCTTTATACAAGGGGTGGCAGATATGGATTCATCTTCTGGAACCAAAAGGTTGCGTTATTGAAAAGTATGATTTTAAGAAGCGTCTCAGGTGTTACTGCGTCCGTGAAACCGGCACAAAATATTGATGTGCAAGTCTTCATGTAGGGGAAGTATCTCAGCTGTGTCACCAGGAAGACCCACATTGTCTCTAATGAGTTCTGAGTTTTCGAGATCCACGCATGATAGTTAGAACATGATTAAGGTTTCAGGAAAGCTCATGGTTATGGTAAAGAAAGAGCCAACATGAACTGTTTGATCGTGGCAGGACACAAACTCACATCTCTTGCATGAGAGTCAGACAGTGATAGTCGGTTAGAGTGCTTCGGGTGGGTGGGATCAGCGACTTTCACCCAGTAGACCGCTGTTTGTGTCCCGTGAGAAACTAACAGTAAACGTCAACTTGTTTTGTTACTCGTTAGTCAAGTTAATATCAACCGAGATCTATTTTTTAACCAAACTAGGTTGTTTTGTTGCCTAAACCTTAACGTCCTGTGAAGACAGAAGTTTAATTTGGAAAAGACACCAGGCATGTAACGAGCATATGATGCACAACACAGAGCACTGCCTGTATTTCACGAGTTAGGAGTAAGAATGTGTTGTCTATTCCTGCTATTTACGATGAAAGAGCGCGTGTAATGTGGCTGCTTGGGAGCAGATCATCCGGATGGACTTTTATTTCAGATTAATATTTCAACAGCGAGCAGACCACAGCGAGCACATTTTGTTCATTGAAAACAGACTTTCCAGGGTTCTTCTCTCGGGAACTTTGAACGCTGACCCCAAAATGTCAGCGCTGAATTGTCTCCTCAGGCTGACATGTTGGGTACAAGCGGCACAAAACAAAACCGCAATGTCTCCATACATTGACAGTGTGTCGAGAAAAGCACCCGACTTAGAAGTCATTGCTGGAGATGTCTAGCATTGCATCGAAAAACACCTCGTTCATGTTGTGGTAGATACAAATGTATCGTAGTGTGAGAGCTTTTCTGCCTTCCAGATTGTTTCTATTGTTTGTTTTTTTCCTAGAAAATAAGGTAATTTCAATTTGATAGTCACACTGGGAGTAGTAGTCAACATTTTACTGTACTTGAGAACCACATTAATAATGTCAAGAAAGTGCTTCTTTCAAGGATAGTGTCAACTGAAAGTTACTACGAGAAACTTTTATTCTGTGTTGTACCAGCACCCAACCGTTAGGCCTTAACGTCCTACTTAGCTCTATTGATGTAGAGAGACAGACGGCCACATTGGCCTTTTACTAGGAAGCATGTCTTGTTTTAAGAGGTGGCTTCAAGAAGAATGCTTCCATTAGTTTCCCATTAGTTTAAACAGTATGCAATGGGAACGAGAGTAAATATCCAGACGGAGTATAAATGTGAGGCCTGAGTGTGGAATGTGTATTAGAGCAGGCAATAATTCAAGTAGGCTGAAAAACAAAAGCTTCTTACCTACTGCTGAATTTTTCATTGTTATGCGGTGCATTCAAGGAGAGAAAATGAGACGTGAGGAAGTTTCTTTTGAAACGATAAAGAGGGTAATTAATGTTTAAAACAAAATCTGAGAATAAAATCAAGGCGTTATACTTAGTAACTACATCATAACTTTGATTTATGTTTCATGAGCAGGAAGCCATTGTACAAAGCTACATCGTTAGGAGAAATGTTACAATATAAACTCGGTATAAAAGCAGGTCGGTGAAGGTGTGGCCAGGATTAGCGAGATGGGTTGCCGACATCACCGCAGACCCCTGAGGGTTTTTTTGATATGCAGCAGAATTCTGTATAAGCGGAGCACGCAATATAAACGTCAATACTGCAGTCATTCATGTTCATTTAACAGACATAACCGTGATTGTGATTAATATTTGATTGATCTTGCCCCGATCTTTTGTGAGTCCTTGTTTCCACGCATCTCTACCTCGGAGGTGGCGAGTGGACCGTGAGCATGGACGATATGCTGCATTCACACAATGAGCCACGCAGCAACATGCTGCAAGTCCTCTTCAATGGAAGCCGGTGATGTGAAGCCAAAAACCTGCACCTGACACTTCAGCCAACGTCAACCGACCATATCTGTTTTGTTTCACCTGTTCTGTTCCGTCTGAAGAAATGCCGTTGGCCGGTTTCAAGAGCTATTTGGCGTCATAGCTTCATCAACAAGGGCTCGAGCGACAGCGTATCTGACCACACTTGTCGTTTTGTCGCTAAGAGTGTGAGGATAGCTAAGAGACACATTTATAGAATGTGTTTGCTGTGTGAATGAGCCATACTTTTAGTTTTACTGCCCTATCTACGAGGACATAAGGAGTGTATTATGTAGTGAAATTACTTCCATTTATGTTGATTTCTTTTTGCTGGATGACGATGAAAAACCTGAGTTGTGCTTCAGAAAAGGAACCTTTTTTTGTAGCAGATTTTATTTGCCAGGCCCGAGAGAGAAGGCAGAATATTTAGTTTAAGACCGAGCGGTGAAGTAACCTGTAGTATAAAGTTATCAATCAATCGTATAGGAAGCACCAGGGAGAAATATTCTGGATTTCTGCTTTAATGAGCACTACAGCTCTTTGATGGCTGGGAATTTAAAATCTGGGTGATCATCCGGTTAAACCCAACAAAATCTTTTAATAAAAAAAAACAATAACAATAAGCCCTAATTGAAAAAAAAGATGCACCTTTATTACCCCCCCCCCCCTTGTATTGGGAGCCGAGCCCTTTGACAATATGTTCCCTTATTCAACAAGACATATAACTGAAAAGCCTATTAACGCTTTCCATCAAACTCATTATCTTTCATCGCTTTTAATTGACTTATAAAAAGCCCATGAATCTTTGATCTTGATAACCTGAAGCTAATGAGCTTTGCAGGTGTACCACGGTGTAATCATGTAAAGTAGGTTATTAAACATTTTGGTGCAGCAGTGATTTTTCTGTCAGGACGGATTAGCTTCATTTGTGGGGGAAGCTCCCTCACACAAAGGCCTCCCACAGCACGGAATGTATTAACACGCGTCCGTAGAGCGTCGCCTGCTCCCGCGTCTGATCACACACTTCATTACTGCAGGATGTGAGACTCTGTCCCTGCACTCTGACTGCACACAGTGATTTGTGAGGATTACAGGCCTTTAATGCCCACAAGTGACAGCTAAACACCGGTGTGGAATGACAATGAAAAGGTGTTTATGGTGCAATCTTTTTCTGAAAATGAAAAAAAAAACAGTAAGTAATTGTGTTTTCTAGTGCCGGGCATCACGGTCAATCCCCAATCTCAGTGGCATCAATCCACATGAGACTGGGTGTCATCTTTTAACTTGAAAAATTGAAGTGACAGCTTTGTTTATGCCACAGCCAGGGCCGCACATTCACTCAAGTACTGCACTTAAGTTCAATTTTGACATACTTGTACTTACACTTGAGTATTCCTAATATATTGCTCTTATTACCTCTACTCCACCACACTTCAGAGGGCCGTATTGTCCTTTACTACTTTTTTCTTTGCAGATTTTACATTTTTTTTAAAAACGCTCCCATTATTTATCACCCAGATTCATCTTGTGACCCCTATGTTGGGAGCCACTGGACTAAACTATCTTATTGTATATAAATTAGTTAAAACTAGCTCCATCTCAACCAGCTACATTAAAAGAAACACGTTGATGCATCATCAGTATTAACAATCAAATAAGATATAGTACCAAAAGCACACTGAAGTTGGTGGAGTGGATAATACTGTATATGGATAGTGACTAAATACCTTCGACCGTCTGAGAATCACCAAGGTTGGAGCTGTGAGGCTGTCGCATACTGTAGCTTTAAGTGCGTCATTATCGTGCTTCAGTATAGTCATCACTGGCCTCAGATCATATCCCACACAGGAACTGATCTCATTTCATGCTCAGTCGCTCTCATGCATGTTGAACACAGGTGTGGCTGGAGAACAGCAGGCGCTGCTTTACACCACGTGACTGATTATTTAATGAAGACTGCAGCAGGTTTTTCACTTAAAGGTTTATCTTTAAGTAGAGTGTGAGTGCACCACTCTCCCAAAACTATAAAATGACTCATATTGCACGTAGAATCTGTTCCCTGCACGTTTTAATTTTAACCCTCATGTGAGATACAAGGTTTCGATCTCCGTATTTTGGAACTGACAGAAACTGAAAGTAAGGAAGGGTGTGATCTCTCAGCTGTTACAAGTCGGATGAATATGCAGATGCAGGTGCGATGAGGCTGGTGTCTTACAGGTCGACTGGATGATCGCATCCTATTTTAATGATTGTGGGATCGGGCTGCCGTGTCGGTGCATCTCATCGGCTTATTCTGCCAGACAGGATTTGCACATATTGATACGAGGTCTGCCCATGGTGCTCTTCTGCTCTGCACTGTGTGGATTTACCATAGACAGAAAAAAACCCTGTTATTAACAGCGCTCTCTTCCTGAGCCAGGTCGCTGCCAGAGGAAATATTTTGAGTAGCAAATCCCCTCCGAGGGCAACCATTGGTCAAATTCATAGTCTATGAACTCACCCGACGCAAGGGTCGGGTTGCAAAACAAATCAGACATCACAAAGGAAATACACACCTCCTGTGGGACCGGAAGCTATAAAGCTAACATTGTGATTCACTCTGAATAGGAACATGAGCTAAATAGCTCAAATGTAAAATGTGTAAATTAGCTGTAAATGTCAGTGCAGCGAGAGCCAAAAGGTCGGTACCATTCATCTCCTTCCCAGCAGAGCGTCCAGTGAGACTTGTTACAGTGACACTGGGGTTACAGGAGC